ACATCGGAATTTCTGTTAATCTGTGTAACATGCTATGATAGGCTGCCAGTTTATGTTGTGTAGGATGGAATAATAAATTGTGTATAGTCGTGTCAGTAATAGTAGCTTTATGAAATAGGAGAACTCATGTTTGTTTTTAAGTCTGATAATTTTTAAATATAAAAAGTTTATGGATTGATTTTGCTCTATTTCTATTATAAATTCGATATGTCTATGAAGTGAATTAATATACGATACAAATTGGTCGTGTTGGCTGTTGACTCCCGTAAAACATACCAGTACATCGTCTACATACCAATATAAAAACTGTTTGAATACGGGATGTTTTGAAATCTTTGTCTCTAGATGATCCATAAAATTTGGTCGAAGTTTTGAAAACAAAGTTTTCAGTGTTTTATTGTTATATAAAAGGAAGTGTTTCGAAGAACACGTGATACCTTTGGGTTCATTTGTGATAGTGAACCACCTCACCATCGGCGGTATAAATGGACCGTCCTGCAGTGACTACTGAACAGTGTATAGGTTAAGTGCTCTGGGGGCTCAGGAGACTGATACTTTAGATTTAATATATATATACAGTGTAGGAAAAATTTTATGGTCGGTATGGACCTTACGTGAGATGGAGTGAGAAACAGCTGTTTAAAAAGAGAGAGGTATATTAGGTACGCCCTTTATATCGCCGAATGGAAATATTAAAAAAGGGGAAATTCAACGTTGCCAAACTTATTGGTTTTATTTGACCTGTTGTCTTTTTTTGCATTTGAACAATGTTCTATCAAGAAGATAAAATGCTCAAGATAATCAAATTTGGGCGAAATTGATTTAAATGGCAGGTTACTGTTTTTTTTTTATTGGGAATATGCCACAAGTTTTCTTTACAATAATTGTAATATAACATTTTGATTTCCATTTCGGAAATCGTTTTATATAAATAAAATTTATTAATGTTTCGTATTTTAAGTACGATTTCCGAACTAAAAATCTAAACATCAAAATAATTTCCCAATATGAAATAATAAACAATTAAACATGCATACAATAACGCCAAATTAAAAAATATTCATACACTAATTTATTTGGCAACGTCTAGTCTAGATAGTCGTCTGGTCAAAAGATCGAGTAACGAGAAGTAGAGGTGGGTCGTGCTAGTTTATCGTTAAGAGCGTAGGAGCAAAATTTCGGGCCAATGTTTTTTAAATGCATTCATTTTTTTCGAATCCTGAGAAAACTAATAAATATTTTTAAAAAAATTAAACGCAGAATGAAACAATACATTATTACCGAGAGCTGAAAGTCCCTGAAAACTTCTATAATGTTTATTTTAATAAGTTATAGGGATGAAAAAAAAAAACAAAATTTAGTGTGATTTTTAATTTCAAATATCTCATTAAAAAAACTTTTTGTTTATTCTAAGGGACCTTCGGCCCTCGGTAATAATGTAATCTTTCATTCTGCATTTAAATTTTTCAAAAATATTTGTTAGTTTTCTCAGGATTCCAAAAAAATTTAAATTTTTTTGAATGCTAAAAAGCATTTAAAAATTTTAATTTTCATAAACAAGTAACTATGATTGTTTAAAAGTAGTTTCAAGTAAGATAGTACCTACATAAACAAACATAACGGCTATTATCGTATATGTGTGTATCTTTTGAAGTGAAAGAAACTACCTAATGATATATTTATCATAACTTGAAAAATAAACTAAACAATCATCATCATCATATAACGGGGGTCCTACGGCGATTGCCGCTTCCCGCATTTCAGCCTCCATCTTTTCCTATCTCCCCAATCTCCCTCTTCTAAGCCTCTAGATTGCATTGTTTTTGTAATTTCTCTTCTCCAGGAATTTGGTGGTCTTCCCCTTTTCCTTCTTTCTGGCGGAATATACATTAAGGCTTTCTTTGGCCACCGCTCCTCCTCCATTCTCATCACGTGACCATACCATTGTAATTGCCTTCCTTGTATTCTATCTGAAAGAGTATCTCTAATTCCTGTACAGTTTCGTATTTCCTCATTCCTGATTCTTTCCATTCTCGATACTCGACATGACCTTCTAAGATAATCCATTTCCACAACGTCTACTTTATCTCGTTCATTCTTTGTCATCGTCCAACATTCGGCACCATATGTGGTAATTGGTTCTACAATTGCTCTGTATACGCGAAGTTTGGTATGCATCTTTATTTTATTAGACCACAGTAATGAATTCAGTATTCGGATGCATTTTTTCCCTTGGGTTATTCGGTTTTGTACATCTATCTTAACTCTGCCATCTGCTGATATGATGCTTCCTAGATATTTATACTGGTTGCAGCCTTTTATGACTGCGTTTTCAAGCCTCAGATCTGTGGTATTTCCTCCAATTTTTAAATATTCTGTTTTAAATATTCTGTTCTAAACTAAACAATACAAATAGTAAATCGGACTTACATTTACATTACACGTTATTATTAAATCGCGAATAGTCTAAATTGACATAAAAACATAAGTTTTTCTACTTTACTTCTTGTTAACCGTATTCTTTTTTATTTAAAATTAAACCAGATTTTGAACATGTGTTCACATTTACAATACTTTATGAATATAGTGGTTAAGTTAGGATATACATGGCGATGGTTTTTCCACCGTTGTAATGGACTCTCGATGCAGCTGTACGTGTAGATGAGTCATCTCCAATTAATTGATCAAAAATACACCATGGACTTAAGTCATATTTATTGGTTTCTTTTTCTTGTACTGGTTGATTTTCAATAGTACAATCTTCTTGTTCGTTAATTATAGAAGTAAGCAGCTTCTTAACTTTTTGTTTTGTTCTGCACTTTAAATAGTGAATCCATAAATGTACATAATGACAATGTGCCACTCTGTTCTATCCCTCTAAATCTTTTTGCTAAACCCGATATTAGTAATTGTACTATGTCATATGCTATGGATGTAAGTATGCCGTTTGCTAAAATTTTATTGCAAGATTCTTGCAGGCAGCGTACCATAACAATCACTGAACTAGCATTCAAATATTTTTGGTCACTCATTGTACTTGTTATTTCTTTAAACGGCCGTAAAATTTGGGAAAGTTGAGAACAAATAATCCAGTGTTCTTTATTTAGATTAGGTTTAAGTCTAAGTCTGTATTATTTAATACCAATGTGGAACGGGTTGCCTCTTCTAACTCGGTCATTCTTTTTAACATGTAATAGGTGAAGTTCTACCTAGTTTCCACGTCTTGGATTGGCCGTTTGGGAACTGTGTTCTGTTGTAATTAATACTTTAAAAGCCTTTCTGAAGATAAGGTACTTTTTTGAAATGTGTTTTTTTGCAGAATTGTCGAAAAAAGGACTTTTTATTTTATCTATTTGTACACGACAGCATTTAAGTGCGTCCCCCACCAATAAATTTAATCATCATCATAAATCACAATCATCATAAAACAAAACATATTTAATAGCTTTGACCATATTTTAGGAATTATCAGTTACTGCAAAATTTACTTTTCGTTTTAGACCCGACTGATTAATAATTTCAGTAATCGCTGTTTTCTGGATTATGGTTTCCAGAAAAATGGCAGCAGCCTAATAAAAAAGTTTTGAATACTAAATTTTCGGTTAAATATTGTCCTGTTAATGCGAAGTAACTCTCAGTTACTCCAGATGTCCAGAGGTCAGTAGTAATACAGATATTTTCTACTTCTTTAACAACTTGCGATCTAATAATTTGCTCACTTTTGACATAACATTCCTGAAGTAATGAACCTGACAAAGTTTTTCTTGTTGGCGGTTTATATCCAGGAATCCACCCTGCAAACTTTTTAAAAGCTGGTTCTTTAACTATGGAAAACGGATGAAACGAAAAGTTTAGTAAATCTTGAAAATCAATCAGTCCAAGAAAAAGAAACTGATAAAGATGACTTAAGTCCATGGTGAATTTTTGATGAATTAATTGGACATGACTCATCTAAACATACACCTGTATCGAGAGGTATAAAAGAAGTCGACATGTAATTGTCTGATGATATATTACCCACAAACAATTTCGAACGGAGATTGGAACTGTCCATTACCGTGGTGAAAAAACCATCGCCATGTATATCGTAACTTAACCACTATATTCATAAAATGTTGTAGTATTGTAACAAAATCTTTTCCTTGTGAACACATGTTTAACATCTAGTATAATTTTAAATAAAAGAAGAACGCGATTAACAAGAAAAGTGGCAAAACTTATGTTTTTAAATGTCAATTTAGACGATTCGCGATTTAATAATGTGTAATGTAAATGTAACTATTTAAGTACCATTTGTATTATTTAATTTATTTTTCAAGTTACAATAAATATATCCTTCGTTAGGTTCTTTTATTTCAATACTTATACACATAAACGATAATAGCTAATATGTTTGTGTACTCGCTAATTTGAATACTGGTAAACAATCAACTAGTTACCGTTTACGAAAAACGGTTCCGATAAAAATTAAAAAAACGAGAAGACCCACCTCTAGTTTTTTAGGTATATTAGGATCGGAACCAGAGAATATCTGATCGGAACTAATCGTCTCACTAATGGGCAATGGCCAATGAGTGTTAAAAGAATTTTAGGAGGGGAGACGAAGGGGAAATATGATTGTTATCTTTGTCTAATTCGTTGAAAATATGATTTTATATCTGCGTTAGATATCCTGTTAAATTTTACCATACCGACCTTAAAATTTTACCTACACTGTATATATATATATATATATATATATATATATATATATATAATTAGTGTTTCTTGGGTTTAAGTTATATATTATTTTAAATATAATACGGTTCAAGAAACTCTAAACTACTAAAGTACTTGTGACTCGTTTGGAAAAAATATATAAATATGTTTGGATGGGTTAGAGTCAATAAAAATTTTTTTGACTCTTTTAGTAAACTGTAACTATTACAATTAGATCTACTCAGTATTCACTAATACAAATTTTCATATAATATGGTATAATTACCGTCATATTTTTATATCCGCACAGCAGATATCGCTTCTTGTTTAGCAATTGGTAACTATTATAGACAAAACCTGTTTGACCATATTATTTCATTTCAATATATGAGTATTACAACTAGAACATCCACGATCATACCACCGCAATGTTCCGAGTCGCTTGCTGTTCACCAGAATTAATAAAAAATATGCAGAGATTCTTGGGTAAACAGATTCCCTTGTGTTTTCGTCATTTAAACTTTATGTTTTGAGATTTTTACAATACTGCCCGCTATTACTATAAATTTATTGCAGAGTAAAGTTGCCCTTGGTTTATTTTCTATCTATTCTGTTCTAAATTCTTTTGATATTAAACCTCTAATTCGTAATTTGTTTTCTTTTTACTGCTGCGTATACGCCAAATGAAAATATAGAAGTACCAATACTCAACAGAATATTCAGTTTGTACAGAATTAAAACTTCGAACCAAGTTAAAAAAAATCAGCGTCATCTTAACAACAATGTAGTGTACCAAAACAACTTAATATTTTACCCAAGAATCAGTAAGAAAACAAATGTATTTTATTTTAAAGAAAGTTTGTTGTCTATGAATTATTTTTACTACTCCAAAACAAAACAATTGTACTAACACGCTAACCACTTTATAAACTGCGATGAATATCCATTCAATTATAATAAGTCTTTCTTTATTTCATCTGTACCATAATTGATATTGGAATAACCTATTTTTATTCTTTTGTCAGTTTTTTATAGCGTTATCTTACAAACCCGGCTTCGAATAGCAGAACAAATATTATATTCTTCCAATTTTTCTTCGAAGTAGCAATTAAACCTATATCTTACACTCTCTAGTTGAACGAATTATATATATAGTACTCTCTTTTGAAGATTTTTTTTTCAATTTATACCAGTATACGGAAAGATAGAAAATCATTCAAATATAATATAAGCCTATACGCTCAAACCTTCCTTCGATGGATCCCCTCTATAGAAGTTTTGGGAAGCCTGTATCTGAGAAATTTATTAAGTTGGCATGCCTAAGATGAATTCTGCATGTGATCGGGTAAGAGGAAGACATGAAAGTTAGAACAGATTTCGATAGAAACAACTTACGACGATGACATAAAATCTATTGGAGTTAAGGGATGGTGAAGAGGTGTCAGAGAGAGGGGGATAAAGAGACAAAATGTGTGGACGATAACGTGACAGGTGATTGGTTACAAAACACATAGCCACAACTAAGGCAACCTTACAAGGACGAAGATATCTTCAATAGCGATGAAACTGGTGTCTTTTACAAACTAACGCCAGCCAAAATTTTAAATTTTTAAAATCAAAAATGTGTCAGTGGAAAGCTTTCAAAACAAAGAGTCACGGCTTTTGTTTGTGCAAACATGACTGGTACAGCTTTTGGTTATTGGAAAAAATTTACATCCTAGCTAGATGTTTCAAAAACATGAAAACACTGCCTGTAAACTAAACATACAACAAAAAGCCTGGATGACTTCTGCTATTTTTGAAGAAGATTTGAGAAAGTGGGACAAGAAACTCTCTTAAAAAAAAAAAAAAGAAAATTCTTCTCTTAGTTGACAACTGTGCAGCCCATTCCAAGCTTAATTTGACCAATATCAACCTAGTTTTCTTACCAGCCAACTGCACGAGTGTCTTCGAGTGTCTTCCAGCCTATTGACCAAGGAGTCATAAGAAGTTTAAAGTGCCATTATCGGAAACAGTTATTGAAAAGGATGATTTTTTGTATGGACAATGGACAACCCGTGAATATTACCATCCTTTATGCAGTTCAGTTTTTAGGCAATGTGTAGAGTGCAGTTACGTCAGTGACAATATGTAAGTGCTTTCGTCAAGCTAAATTGACTGTAGTTTCTCCAATGTTCAGGATGTTGACGAGGATTATGAAATGACTTTGTCAGAGTAGATACAAAAATTTAATGTAAACTAGAGAGAGTCTGGAACTGATCTTAACTCCTACATTTCAGTAAACGATCAGATAGCTACATTTCAAGTTTTAAGTGATAAAGGAATTGTGGAAATAGTGTAAAATGTGGAAATGGATGTTGATGACGATAATGAAGACGAAGAAGATGGCGTTGATTGGCCTACAACCCAAAAAGCAATGAGAGCTGCTGATACCATATACAGGTTTTACCAGTTCAGAGAGGCATCCACAACTACCAAAGAAACAGCTCAGATTATTAAGGACACTACAGAAAAATTTTTTCGGACAAGGTTGTGCAGAAGAAAATAACTGACTTTTTTCAGTATTAGATAACTTTTTCATAAAAAATGTAAGTTTAGTATACATGATATGTTTTATTTCTTAATTTTTTATCCTAAGTGCAGCTGTAATAATAAATAATTCTGTAATACAATTTTGCCTCGTTAAAATTTCATTTTGCCTCGTTCAAATTTTTTACCTCTTTTATACCGTCACTCTGATATTGCGTCATTTTTTTACTGGACTCTTCAATGACCCTACAACCAAATTCCACTGTAAATGCATGAACAGTAACAATGTATAGTGCAAGGGAGTATAGTAGCGAAGATATCTATGGATTCGGGGAGAACACACCAGATAAGGAGTCAAACGCTCGACATAGCCAAATAGGGATCTGGGCTATAATAATTGCAGCATTATTATGATAAATATTTCTAAATACTGATTTTTTTGCATAGCTTTTTTTAGTTCTCCCAATATTTTTAAACTGAATGTCTCTTTGTTATTACATGTTCTCTTTATTCCCGCATTTACCGTGATCGCTTTTTTGATCTAAAACGATCCAGTTCTTTGTTTTGTAATTTTTAATGAACATTTTGCCTGTTTTTATTATTCCCCTATTTACTCGAATTTAGTTCAAATGCTGTTGCTAGATCATGTTTCCACTTTTTTTTCTGAAATGTTTTCCGTACTTCTCTGTATTCCGTTACACTATTCAGTTTTATATGTTACAAAACATATGTGATGGCATTTATTCTTCATTGTGGTTAATCCAGAGTTAAATACAAATACAGATTTGTAAGCTACACTTTCTAAATGACCATAATATATCCAATTAACACATCCAACTTTTAGCAGCAGGCAAGGAAGTATTAACCAAAGCAAGCAATATAAGATAGCGCATAATAAACTAACAAAATATTCTCAGTTTAGCTTTAACTTCAAAGCAGTTCAAATGTCTTGGTTAACTTTTATAGTTAAATACTGTTAATAAACTCTTAAAAAATTGCAATTAATCATAATTGGTGTAAGTAATTATATACCAACTGTTTAAATAATAGACGATATAAGATACATGACAATTTTTCACATTAAATCCACAAAAAATCGTAAAAACAGTTTCTCTCTGCGAAGCTCCCCCAACTTTCTATTTATTATGTACAAAATACATAAAATGATTATGGGCTTCAGAATATTAACCACGCTGACTTATATCGTTAAATAGGACGTTAAAGTAAATTAACAGTATTTGTAAAAATAAATTAAAATATCAGTCAAATAAAAACAAAAAATTTACACCCTCAATATCTCCAAACTTTTGTTGTAGCATATAGCGATCCAATCAGGTTGCGTCGCTCCCCATTGAATCTGATTAACTTCACCTTCTGCCGCTGTATACGCTAAAATTGGATCCTCTATAGCTCGAGGCATTTGTTGAATATCCCAGATAAGGGCTTGGTGGTCGTCCCCTGCTGTACATATATGACAGCTAGAGTGCGGTGCCCAGGCAATTCCATTCACGCATGCGCGATGGTTATTGAGACGGGCTACGGGTGTGCATGGTACTCTTACGTCAAGAATAATTACCTAAAATATCAAAAAATTAGTATGAATCTTATTGCATACTTTCACAAATTAGAACTGTATGTCAATGTGGCGACAATAAGAGTCAGACCTACGACAGTACTGTGATTTTTTTTATCGACTAATAGTAATTTAAAGGTGTTAGGCACTATTTTCTTGTGGCATGTATATGTTTATATGGGGTTATGCCACAATTTATTGTAAAAAAAAAACATCAGTAACAACAAATATAATAACCTAACAAAACACAATACAAACAACACAATAGTTGTGCATCTATCTAAATGACAGTTGAACGCAATAGAGAACCTGATGCTCGAAAAAAAAAAAGATCTAAATTACGCTGTAACACGCCCAACAGTTCCTAAACGTGACGAACACAGGATCATCACAGATATAGAGTTTTATGCAAAAAAACTGGAGAAAAGCACATGATCAAAAGTAAATGTTAGTAAAGAGGAAGTCAAACTATCAAAGCTCTAAAAGAAGATGAGTCCATAATATCACAAGCCCGCAAAGGTAACGGAACTGTAATTATGGACAAAAATGGATATCGGGAGACAATTCATGAATTGCTTACAAATGAACCTTACATCAAACTTAAAAAGGACACAACCAAATTACTGGAAAACAAAATATATAAACCACTGCACAAATTTAAGGAATACCTGACAGACTACCAAAGAAACACACCAATACCACACCTATATGGAGTTCCAAAAATTCACAAATATTCTGTACTCATCAGACCAATTTGCAACAGCATGGTTTCTCCTTCCAGCAGACCTTCAAAGTTCATCTTAGACATAATACAGCCTTTAGTACACAACACAACATCTTTTATCAAAAACTCAGAGCAATTTTTGAAAAAATTAGCAGAAGTATATTACAATTTCAAAAATATGCTAGTCATTTTTGTTATCACCAGTCTTTTGTACCAATGGAGTAAACTTTAAGAATAATAAGAGGGATGATATTATGTTGACAACAAAACCCAAACTGAATGTATCAGCTATCATGGAGCTTCTAACACTTTGCACTGACAACACTTATTTTCAACTATTTCTATAAACAAAATTCGGATTAGTCATGGGCTCATCCTTATCTCCATTCTTCTTCTTAATGTGCCGTGCATTTCTGCGTAGGCGTCCACCGTACATCGTCTTGTCAGGTGAGATGTTAAATAGTCAGGATTAAATAATTCTGTTTTTAGCAGCATTGTGAATCATTTCATAGCTGTGGATTCCTGTCCATTGTCGAATATTGCGCAGCCATGACATTTTTTTACGTCCCAGACCTCTCCTACCCTCTATCTTCGCTTCGAGTATTAATAGCAGATATATGCATGGAAGATTTCGAACAAAACATTGTATATAAACAAGACAAAACAACCTACAATATGGTGTAGATATGTAGATGATCTGTTATCCATTTGGCCTCACGGATCAGAAGCACTGGTCATGATATTAGACATAAAGGTCTAATGAAAATCAACAATAAAGAAGAATGAATCAAATTCACAATGAAAAAAAAAACGATGAAAATGAAATTCAGTTCCTTTTCTGGATGTGTTAATCACAAAAGAAGACCCAAGATATCTAACCAAAGTTTATAGAAAACCAACCCACACTAACAGATATTTAAATTAACACTCAAACCACAACATAAACATCAAAAAAGGAATCATCAAATCATTATATGATAGAATTCGAAACACCTGCTCCAATGAAAATGCATTTGAGGAAGAAAAAATCTTGCTAACTAAGGTTTTAACAAAAAACTACTACCCATTGTCATTTATACACAAGGAATTTCACGAGATTGAAGAAAGGAAACAAAAAAATACCACAAGCAATGTAAAAACACTGACAACAAGAGATTCAAAGATGACAACGATACCATATGTAAAGGGCTTATCACAAAAATTGAAAATTGTAACAAATAAATACAACATCAGAACATTCAAAACAACTAGCGCAGTGAGATCTATACTGTCAAAAACCAAACCCAACAACACACAAGAAAGATAAAAAACTGCATCTATAAAATACCCCGTTAATGCAACAATTTCTATGTGGGAGAAACCGCAAGACCAAGTGTCAGGATAAACGATTATGAAACATATATCAAGAACAGAGACTTCGACGAATCTCAGATATGCAAACATGCCTGGGATAACGAGCACATAGTACAATAGAAAGATGCATCAATAATCAAGAAAGAAACTATAATACTAAATACTAAAGAATGCTAAAAGAAGAAGTCAATAACAAGAGCATACCAACAATAGCGGATTCAAGGAAGTCACAGACATTATCTACAATTATACACAATATATATGCAACACACAATACCCAAACAAATAATCTATGTTAAACACACTTTGACGCCATAATAACAGCCGAAAATGAAGATGACCTACAAAGATTAATCAAAGAATTCGAAGATAAGGCGCTTACATACAACATGGTGATTTCAACAGAGAAAACTAAAACGATATTGATATCAAATCACTATGGTTTTAGTTTTTTTTAACAAGTGATGGACACTGAATACTTAGGAATAAAACTGTCAAGCTACGGAAAAGTGGAAGAAGAAGTACAAAAACAAGTGAACATGGCAAACAGAGTAGCAGGATAATTCAACAACACAATCTGGAGAAACAAATACCTCACAAAGGAAACGAAAACCAGGATATATCAATCAACAATAAGACCGATAATGACGTACACAGCGGAAACAAGAGCAGATACGGTGAAAACACAAAGACTGCTGGAAACAACAGAAATGAAAGTCTTACGAAACATAACAAACCAAACTCTAAGAGATAGAGTAAGAAGTGAGGAAATACGAGCGAGATGTGGTATAGAGGAAATAAACGCGTGGACAAAAAGAAGAAAAGTGGAATGGAATCAACACATCGAAAGAATGACAGAAAATAGAATAGTACGAATAGCAAGAGACAAATCGCCAAATGGAAGATCATTGGGACGACCGAGGAAAAGATGGTCAGACAACGACAATTGAGGCTAAAAACTGAAATAAAACAGGCATTAAGCCTATTTATAAAGAAGGAAGAAGAAGAAGAAACACACTTTATACAAACAAATAAAACACACAAATCAGTCAAAATTTGATATTACCAGGGTAAAAATACAACCCTCAGTTTTATATCAATCAAAAGAAGTCTATTGCCTACAAGATAAAGGCCATGTAGGTCAGTTATTAATTCTGAAAAACATAACCTACACACAACATCTTGTTGGTTATACATTTTCCCGTATTTTTTTTTAAATATTTCTTTTTTTAAATGATTTTCATTACCACCAACTGTGGCTTAACCCCAGATAAACATAATATTTAACTTAGTAATGTATAATTATCAAATTATAAATTATAGAAGCGCAAGATCGTAGAGGATGAAGGGTGATAGTGGATGCGGCGTAGATTCACCCAGAGTTGTAGAGCCAGTGAAGAAGAAGAAAAGTAATAACCCGTTATAATTTGATATATAATTATATATCAAATGATAACGGGTTGAGACTAATAAACTTTGCAAGCATCAAAAACATGATCATAGGAGGAATAAGATTTCCCCATAAAATAATACACAAAGGAACATCGAAATCACCTGACAATGTAACCGTTAACCAGATAGATCACATCCTAATAGATGCAAGGCATTCTTCCGACCTCGTCAGCGTCAGAAGCTACCGAGGTCCACCACATAGATAGTGACCACTTTCTTGTAATGGCAAAAATCAGAGGAAGAATTTCAAACCTAAAGAAGGATAAACATATGACACAAGACATAATTAATGTTGATAATCTGCGCATTGAAACTGTTTCAAGAGAGTATAGGAGGCAAATGGATGAGGAAATAGAAAGCCTGAAAGCAGGAAAAATGTGGAGGAATTCTGAACAAAATGTAGAAATATAATAACCGAGAAGGCATCGGAAATATTTTGGAAAACCAAATCTGTTGGGCAAAATGAATGGTTTGACGAGGAGTGCCAAGAAGCAACAGATAACAAAAATAGAGCATACCTAAAATCAAGCTAGATGCACAAGAAGAGCAAATGAGGAATAACAACACGTAAGAAGGGAAGAAAAAAGATTAAATAGAAGAAAAAAGATAGCAATTGTTAGAAAATATAGAATGGCTAAGAAATCAAAACAAAACTCGAAAGTTCTACAGAAATATAAACAAAAAGAGTAAAGAGAAATGTAGAAAATATGTAGCTGTAATGATGGAGAAGGAAATATCCTAAGTGATACGGCCTCAATCTTGAACTGATGGAATGAATTCTTTGACGCAAAATTTAACGGCTATTATATCGAAGAAGCAGATGTAGCAGATCGAAATGATTGGAATCTACTTAATCCAAACGAACGACCACCTACTACTGAAGAGGTTCTCCAAGACATTAAAAAGCTTAAAGCTAATAAAGCACCAGGAACTGATCAAATTTGTAGTGAGCTCTACAAGAATGGTGGCAACGCCCTGCTACAAGCACTGCATAAACTTTTTCTTCTTGTCTGGCAAAATGAGACCATGCCCTGTGAATGGTCACAAGATGTGATATGCCTGTTACATAAAAAAGGCAACAAGTTTACACAGTTGGCATAGTTGGAAAATACCAGACCGGATTTACTCCAGAAAAATCAATAATTGACCAGTTTCATTCAATAAGAGATCCTCGAGAAAACATTAGAATGTAACATTGAAACCCATGACCTATTCATTGACTTCAAGGCTGCATATGAGATGTCAAGAGAACAGTATTATACCTACCAATCAATGCGTGAGTTTGGTATACCAGAAAAACTTATCTGATTAACAAGACTGACAATGTCTAACTTAAAAGCCTGCGTTAGGTTACAGGAAGAAAAGTCTCGATCCTTTGAGATAAAGGATGGATTCAAACAAGGAGATGCTCTGGCTTGCCTCCTACTTAACATTGCCTTGGAAAAGGCAGTCCGAAACACACAAATTAGAGACGGTACTATTTACAACAGATCTTAGCATACGCTGATGATATTGGCATAATAGCGCATAGCAAGCGAGATGTCCAGCAATATTTCCTAGAATTGGAAACGGCGGCGAAACAGGTCAGTCTAATCATCAACGAAGACAAAACCAAGTACATGTTGGTTATTAAGGATTGGATTCCACATGCTGTGGAACGGGAAACAGCATTTGGAAGTCATATCTTTGAATGTATTAACAGCTCCACATACCTTGGCTCACTAGTGACTACTACCCATAAAACAAGAGAAGAAATTAAAAGAAGAGTAAATCTTACAAATAGAGCATACAAAGATACATAGAAGATAGATAGTTATAGAACCCAAAAGCAATTCCATGCAAAAAATATCCAAAGAAAAACCAAAATTATTATATAAAAAGCACTGCTAAGATACAAGGCGGAAACATGGACTCTAATGCAGAAAGGTGAAAGACTTCTGGGAATAATGGAGCATAAGATACTCCCCAAAATGTTTGGAGCTATAAACGATCAAGGGCAGTGGCGCAAAATATTTAATTTTGCATTATACCAACTTTTTAATGAACTAGATGTCGTAATGTTCATTAAAACTCAGCGACTTAGATGGTCCGGACACATAATACAAATGCCTGACACAACATGCTTACCTCGATGTACCAGAAGTAAAGGCTGACCGCGAATTACATAGTTAGATGAAGTTGAGACTGACTTAGGGATACTAGAGATCAGAAGAAGAAACTGAACAGAATGGCGACTAATCTTAGAGCAGCCCAGGATCCACAGAGCATTATTGAGCCAAAGATGATGAATTTATAGTTAACTTCATAAAAAAGGTTTCTTTTTATAGAAAAGATTTTTAATGCATAAGGTTGACTGACCATATGCTGTTCCGTTGTTGTACAAACATTGCAACATCTCTGTGTCAGGGTTATGTAATGTGCTACCATACCCAGCAAAACTGTATTTCCATTATTCTACCTTAATAATCAACCGATCATAGATCACCTGAGTACAAAAAATTTGTTTATATGAAAATATTGTAGCCAGAAATTCTTCTAGTAGTTCATTGATGTGTTCACCTCATTATTAAATGGTTTGAATTCGATGTCTAGTGAAATTTCGCGAGTAGTTTCGTGTTTCAAAGCAATAGTAAAAGCTTCATCTAATATATTTCTTCTTGATAATCGTAAACCTTTCTATAAATCGCTTGTTTTTTTTTCACTCAAACCATTAACAAATGTTTCAAATCCCTGCCAGTTCTCTCCTGCAGACTGGATTCTGTTTCGCAGTTGTATTTTGTATATTTATAGATGGCTATCCCCATAGAATTTTTCCAATAAATTAAATAAGATCTGACATTTTTCCTTACCATCTTCCTCAAACCCTCGCCCAAAAAATTATAAAAACTAGTGATACGTCCCAATTTCCCACCCATAAGAGAGATAATACTAGCTTTTATCTATTATCAATACACAGTCTCCTGTTGTTACCTAATTTTAATGGATAAACAGTTTGATATTGCAATACCTTATGAAACATGGTACACACCTACTGATAACAAGTTTAAAGTCATTGCAGTTAATAGTGATAAAGGTTATGGAGGAGGGGAGTAGCAATTTTTATTTCACATAATATTATATATACAATCATTCAATTTATCATTGTTTTAATCGAAAAATTGAAGTTCATGGATCAATATCACTTCTGTTAACAGCAATGTATATGTCTATCCGAACTCTTCAACATTAGAGTGATATCCCAAGATTACATACATTCATTTTGCCAAATAAAATCAATATTTTAAACAATAAGAATACTTACTTCACAAGCATCCATCGCTATGGTAGCTAAATAGTTGGGATCTTGTTTGTTCCAAGCAAGCCTCAATAAAGGTGTATGTGTGTGATCTTCATATATTATAGTTGAGTGTTCCAAATGTCTTAGATCAAACATTCTAACAGATCCATCTGCACCTACAGAAGCAAACATATCTCTTCCACCTCCTGCTCGTGAAAATGCAATGTCATAAACTTCTTTATCATGAGCTATAAGCTGGGTTTTTACATGCCCTGAAACTAGGTTCACTCTACCCATTACCTAAAATAAACAAAAAATTTTACTCATACTATAAAACAATATTTACAAAATTTTACTTTAAAATTAACTTTATTTGATGTTTTAATTTCCACTTCGGAAATTGTTCCCAAAAATATAAAACATTAATAAATTAATCAAATATTGTTATTAATTTATTAATGTTGAAGTATAAACTAAATCTTTGCTATTGCTACATATGCATTTGAGACATGGATGTTAAAGGTCTCCAACTAAAGAAAAATAGTTGACTTTGAAAAGTGGGTTTACAGAACATCATACTAACATCTCATTTATAAAGCAAATAAAGGTCAACACAAGACTGTCTACAAAAATAAATCAATACAACCTTGGATCCTTCTGACACAGCATGAAGAACAGAAGACCTAACCACTGACCATCGAGGATAAAATCAATGGCAAATGTGAGGTAGTTCCCCACATGCTGGATGGATTAAACTAGCGGAATTATTGGCCATTTTTTTTTCAGGACTTGTTTGTTGTTATTACAGGGTGTACTGCACCCAATAGGCTTATTGTATACCTTCCAGTTCGTGTAACCTTCTGGCATAGATTTTGTGTTAAAACTATTTATGTGCCCTCGGAAGCTTGGCAGTGTCTGAGTTAAATCAATCCCAGCCATCTGGCTTACTAAGCCAATACCATAGCCACTGAGCTACAGTCACCAGAAGTATTGGCCATGGTCTACATCAAGCTTGCGTAGCAGCCCAAGATAGATAAGGACAAAATCCATTATCTAATTGATCAAGATAAGATGTGGCTATACTGTTTTGAGATTCAACAGATATTAAAATAAGAAAAAAAAACAGACCATCGAAAACACTATAATTTGGGAATAGTTTAGAGCTGTGAAAAAACTATATTTTTTTATGTGAGAGGAGGCACATTGATTTGATTTTGTCTAACTACAAATAGCATAGTACTGCATCATTTCCTACAAGTTTGTGTAATTCCTGAATGGATTACCAACATTACATATAAAAGTTTTTAAAACTTATTCAGGTAGAACACTTAAGTGACCTAATGAGTATCAGTCAATTTTGACTTGACTTGACTTAAGTGTCTAAATATAGAAACACGCTAAATATATCAGTTACATATGGCTGGTAAAGCTAATCTATTGAATTCACTTTGCACTATGACAGTGAAGGCAATAAAAGCTTATTTTGTTAAAAATTCAAATCAAAAATAATATTTTAAACAATTATCATATTACTATTTACTCCTACGAAAACTTACCTGACCAGTTTCAAGTCCCCAAATAGTACAAGTTGTGTCAATAGAAGATGTACCAACTAAGTTTGGATCTACTTCATTCCAATCAAAACTAGTTAAAGGTGCACAAAAATCAGAATTTTTATTATTGTTTAAGACACACTCAAGCCTTGTGTCTGGCTCTCCTGCTCTCCAAACCCTCAAATAATCTCCACTGAAAATTAAATACACACATGCTTTAGAATGATATTGTTATCAAGAACAATATTTTAAAGTTTGATTACAAGCAGTAACTTATATCTATTACCTAGTAGCTAAGAGATCAGGAAAAATTCCTTTACTGTCGGGTATCCACATAATTTTAGTGGTTGGATATGGATGATCAAAGGTGCTTTTTGCAGAAAACTCACTACTGTCCTCATCTAATGAAACTACTTGAACTTTGTTGTTATACTCTTCTACAAAACTTCCAAGAGCCAATCGAAACCTTTTGTCAGGTCGGACAGACCAGTTCATACTATAAAGAGGCCATGGGGCTATATATTTGTAGATTTCTTTACGTTTTCCACCAGGGACAACCCCTGAATGGGCCATTTCTAAAAAGTAAAGGAGATGTAAATCTGTTACAAATATAATATACAGTCCACTTACTTGAAAATACTTGGTTTCTGGAATGTAATTGAAATTCTTGTTATTTTATAAAACCAATATTATTTGTTTATAATAAAGTCGGCTTGATCTTGACAAGTGGCACATGACATAAGAAATTTTTCAAAACCTATCAGTAATTCAGGTGCTTAGTTGCCAAATCAAAGGATTTGCTCAAGGATTCAAGATATTTAAAAATAAAAAAATAGTTTTCTCTATACATTACTCTTCTACTTCTTCCAAAACTTGGGACTACAACTCATATTTTAATACCGCTTAAATAAATGAAAGTAAAAAGATTAGATCATATAATGACTTTCAGATCATCTTATATCGTTAATTCATTTGTTTACTATTATTAGGTATATCAATTTTTTACTTGTTTACTCAATATTATCTTACCTGCTCTATTATTTTATTTTATATGATTAATTTTTATCTGACGAGCTCATTCAAATGACTTGAAGTCATTTCCATATTAATGACTACAAGTCTTTGTGATAATATTCGGTTCACGATCTTTCCAATTTATTATTATTATTCCGTCCTATTATATACTTAAATATTTTCATGTTTAATTTGAAAATCTATGCTTTTAAATCTTGTTTTGATTTCTCTCATTAGCCTATTAAACTTTTGACATATAAGAGCTTGTAGCTATACGAATTCTGACTATGTAGCCGTAGAATAAAAAAAAATCAACCTAGAAATCAAGTGAGTTGGGTTTTGCAAGATGAAGAGTCTACAATGCAATAAAGTAAATAAATTGATTAAGCTAATCATAAAGATTATTTTAAAAGATATGGATAAGGAAATTTGTGTGATTTATGAAAAAAGGTATGGATACGATAATAGATTCATAGAAAAGATAAACTAGGAGCTACCAACTGGCTTCTAAAGGAATTAGCATCAGAAGATCTCAAATAATACTTCAATAGTTTTAGAATGTCTGAAAGTTGTATAAATTTTCTGGTAATGAAAATAAGCTATCAAATACAACGGAAAGATACCCTTTATCCATGTTATACATATTTAAAAACAAATTAAAGTTGTTTCTTCGTACCAGCAAAACGACATTTTTGCGGCAACTAATGAAATCGACAAGTTCGGACTTGTTTAGCCGGTAAAACAGTGAACATGGACACATCGTAGGAGGTGTTACTCGACCGAAAAATATGGAATAGAATGAATCGACTCGATTTAATTACTTGCTAATCTACTCGACTAAATTTTTGTTGTTCAGGCATGTTTAAGCTACTAAATTATTCGCTACTCGACTAAAATACAGCATAGTGCAAACCAGGCATTTTACTATTTTTCACGTGGGGTCGTCTTTGTATATAGGGGAGTGGTAGGAACACTGAGACGAAAAAATTTCAATGCCAATAACTTTTTTATTAAATGCTACTTTAAATTTATATTGTACAATGATATTTGGTATATAAATAAGAACTGAAAAATCATGTCGTTTTCTCATAAAAATTAATGTCAAAACCTCAAAAATATAAAAATTAAAAATTAGTAAATCTATCACTGTTCCTTTCAATGTGGGAACACTGAGACGTAACAATTAACATTATTTGACGTTAAGACTATCAAAGTTTAATTCAAATTTTAAAAGCGAACTTTGGCGCTTGGTTAACCCTTGCATTAAAGGGGGCGGCAAAATCATTTTAATGTCTCTTTTTAATACATGTGAGACATCTGGGACAACTGGAAAGAAGAACCTATTTTCACATTTAGCGCTTTTTCGCAAAAACGATATTTTAAAATCATTTTCTTTTATTTGAGACAAGACTTTGCCTACATAATATGTCTTTTGCTTATAGTTGAATTCAACGAGCACATAATTCCCATCATTTGGACAGCGATCAAGATCTTCGAAAATAATTGGTTCTGGATCTTCACCAATAAAATCCTCCCCTCCGCTGAAATGTTGTAGTTCCATTTCATTTTCGTCTTGCTCGTCAGAATGACAATCTAATACGCGCCGTGCTACTTTTTTCTGTTTTGGTGTCTTTTCTTTAGATTTAATCAGCTCCATTTTTTCCGGGGTATCCGTAGCTATCATCGTCCTTCCTTTGCGTCTTTTGTTGCCCTCTACAGATTTTCTTGTCGGAGCTTTAGGATAACCCTTAAAAACTGTTGGACTAACTAAAAGGTTTTAGTAGTAGTAGCAGTATGACTTGGACCTGGATTTTCTACATCTGGAGATTCACTTATCTTTTCAGCAGCAGCTTCAACTGCAACAAGCGGCCTATCTGTCACAAAACTTGACAAAAAATCTTCTTCAGCGAAGACATGCCGATCGAATGGAAATATTCCAGATTTTCTTGAATCCTACTGCATGCATCTACTGCAGCATTGTAGAAAGTCTGAAATGTCTTAAACAAACCTACGTCCAACGGCTGTAATCTGTTCGTGCAGTGTGGCGGTATAGTCAGGATTGTAACGCCATTATTTTTACATAAATCGATTGCCTCAATCGATAAATGACTTAGATGATTATCCATTAGCAATAAAGAAGGGTTTTCTCTAGTACTATCAGTGTGCTTAATGAAATGCCTAACAACTTGCACAAAGCACTCTGTATTCATCCAACCTGTTTTTGAAGCTAGTCCTAAAGTTCCAGGAGGCGACCCATTTATCATAAAATCTTTAAAGTGTACTCTTGGGAATACCAGAGCAGGAGGAATAGCTACTCCAGATGCTCCAACAATACAGCATGTTGTAACGAGTGTTCCACGTTCGCCACTTGTGGCTTTACTAACCTGTCGTATACCTCTTTCTGCAAACACTTTTTGGGACTTTTGAACGGTAACGGTTCCTGTCTCATCTAAATTAAAGATGCGACTACCATCTCCAAACACAGGGAAACGCTATAAAACGGTTTCAAGTTTACTGAAAAACATTTCAACATTAAATTTATTGAAACCGGTTGGCCTTGCAAGACTATACCTTCTGGGGTCCGGAGGGATAAATTATTGGAATGACGTTTCTGAAATCCTTTCATCCAGGCAAGTGAAGCGATTTTTGAAGTATGCCAGTTTGCTGGAACCACTATGTTATTGTAGACTGCGGCTTCATATGACAGTTTTCGGGTATCTTCTCTTGATAGGCAATATTTAGCAATAAAATAGACTATGCCTAGATATCTATCTATTTGGTAATAGTGTTCAAATGTCTCTCAGATTTTTAACAACATTTACTTCTCATAATAGACATCTGTTAGAGAACACTTTTCGTTTTTTAGTAGACAGTAAAAGCTCCATTCGTCTTAATTTTTATTCTTACTAAATTTTTTAGCACTATTTTTATCTTTCCTAGAACACTTAACAGTAATTCTTGTATATTCGCTATTTGTCGATCATTTTTTTTACCTTTATTCCGATACTGAATTGATTTAACTAATTATATTTCCTCAAAAGTTTCCCTTAGATAATACCATTATCATCTTAAACCAAGCTGTTTAATTTTGCCATCAATAGGTGAATCTCATAATAAATTAATTTTATTTTTCTTGAATATTTCACTCATCCATCACGAGAAGTATTCTCATTTCCGTAGTTCTTCTTCTATTTTAGTTACCCAACTTTGTCACACATCGTAATGTCACACATCACTCGTCTCGTTTCATTCTATCCAAGACGACTGTAACTCTACTGCATGTCCTGTACTGTACTGCATGTACATATATTTTTCACCCTTGCTCTGTAATTTTTGGACGCTGCACAGTTTTTACAATATTTGCAAATACCGTTTAGCATTTCGTAGTAACATCACATCATCGGCAGACATTAGGCTTCAAGGACATGTTGCGATGAAGAGTTTCCCTATTGTTCGAACTAACATTAATGCGAATAAGGAAGGACCAATTTCATGAGTTTCCTTAAGATCAATGAATATCATATGATTTTTTGTTTCCTTGCTCCTATACTTTTACATCAGCTAGCTTGTAGTGAAAATTGCATTTGTCTTATTGATCAGCATCATATAAATACTAATTTCTAACTAACTTAATTCAGGTAAAAACTTATTTCTGGATATCTCAGTTTCCCAACATATGGGTGTATAAATTACTATCTTCCATCTTTACATGCTGTGGTTAGTACTGTATTGTATGACAATAAAAATCGTTTAGTTTTGATCAGAATGGCATTTTTAACATTTTATTATAGGTGTCTGCATTTAACTCATTTTTCTGATTTAAACCGTGTCTATCTTAGATGACCCGTATGTAGGATCATCTCAAAGTTTGCTAAACTTGTAAATAGCTTCTTCTGGAACATACGAAGGTAATGGTGACTAAAACACTCAATGTATCCAGAAGTAAAAATAAACATTCGGAGGAGGTGGTTACGTACATAACTTTAATACTCAGCGTATCTAGAGGTGAAATGCGAAACTCAGGTATCCATTTATGTATATTGTATCCATTATGTATCTGCAGACGTGTTGTTTACATCACTGTGGCATCACAGACTGTGTAAATCAATAATATCAATTCTATCAATAATAAGAGTGACACCAAAGATCTTTACAATATGTATCACAATTTAATAAATTGAGTTGTTTTTTAAATGCTTCATGGCAGATGTTAAAAATACGACCCTCAACCACTCGTATTTTAAAGTATCTAGATGTATCTCGAGTCAGATACCACTATTCCATTCCATCTTAACGTTTTAAAGAGTGCATACATAAAAAATATAATTGTGAATGTAATGTTTATAAAATTAAGTTCTTATTGAAAATGGCAAATAGTCGAAACGTTAAACGTAATGCTTTGCATATTAGTAAGTCAATATTACAAAAAATAAGACAAATTATTGATCAAAATCGAAAATAATATAATTCAAGACTATTTACAATATGGCAACAATGTGTACCTTCCATTTCCAATCACGTCTTCAGTTATACCAACATACAATTTGAGAATTTCATATTTAAAAAAATATAAACTTTTATAAATTTAATATATTGACAACAGATCAGAAGCCGGTATTATTTTAAAAATGATTGAAAAATAATTCTAAATTTTTATTACATCAATACCTAATATCTTGTGCTATTTACAAAAACAGTGTACACACGATAAATCAGTAATTCTATTCCAGAAAAGCATTACGTAAAATGTGTTCGAGGGGGATTCTGTCTATTAGAAGATTTACAACAGATGCAAAGAGCATACATTTTTTTACTACACCTATTTATTATGTTAATGCAAGTAAGTTAACCAAACTTTCTATTTATATTCGTTTGACATTTGACACTAATTCAGATATTCAGAACACTCTTTTTGCAGTGACGTATTAAGGAAAATAAAGTGTAAGACGAGTTTAATCAAAATACTGAATTTATATGTCATGCTTTACAACAATTTTCATTAATATACACATGTTTACACAATCAATTCAAATGGTAATTTTTCGCCTTTAAGGGCAGCGATTATATTCTTAGCAGTTACCACCCCCATTTCATTTCTAGTTTCAATAGCAGCACTTCCAATGTGGGGCAAAATAACGCAGTTTTTCAGTTTAAATAATGGATGATCCAAAGGTAGAGGTTCAGGAGTCATTACATCTAATCCAGCTCCCCATATTACTTTATTTTGAAGAGCAGCAACTAGAGCATCTTGATCAACTAATCCTCCTCGACTAGTATTAATAAAAACTGCTGTAGGTTTCATTTTTCTGAACGCGTCTTCATTAAACATGTTCTGGGTATCTGGTGTAAGGGCAGCACTAACACTAATAAAGTCACTCTGTTTTAAAAGTTCATCAAATGATACGCGTTCAGCTCCGATTTCTGTAGCTTCTTTTCTCTCAGATCTATTATAATAAATAATCTTTTTAGGATTAAATGCTTTAAGAATTTTAGCAATTTGTTGTCCTATTCTTCCAAATCCAACAATACCAACTGTGGAATCTTTTAAGCCTGGCCCGCACATCCAAAATGGCGACCATGCATGCCAACCTCCAGTTTTAGCTTCTTTGTTAGCTTCCAATAGTCTCCTACTAGTAGTTAGCAATAGTCCTACAGCTAGTTCGGCAGTAGCATCCGTCAGAGTATCAGGAGTATATCCCATTTTTATGTTTCGCTTCTTGATTTCCTTTGTATCTAAATGATCGAAACCTACAGACATTGTGGCTACGACTTTTAAGTTCTTTCCAGCTTTGTCTAACACAGGCGCGTCTATCTTATCAGTTAACATGCAGAACAGGGCATTTTTATTTTCTATATTCTTAAGGAGTTCTTCTCTGGGTACTGGACCTTCACCTGCCCATGATGTTACTTGACAACTAAAAGAAAAATATTCATTAATCTCAGTATAGTATATCTTTATATAAATACATTAATTTATATTACTTTACAAAAAAATGTGAACTGTTGTTTCTACGAGTTTAAAAGGAGGTTGATGGGCACTCGTGTAACAAAGAGTCGTGCCGTGATCGATGCCAAAACCTCTGAGGTTAGACCATAACGAGAATGAGAATAGGTATTGGTTCTTCTTAGCTGGAGAGAACTATACGTACCTATTGATAATCAATAAAACTATTATATTCTCCACAACATTAGTAATATTCTTTATTTTTAAGATGCTATGTATTTATAATACAATTCTTCTTTTCATTCATATTAATAGCTTTTCTTATATTTCTTCTAATATCTTTCAACGTTTCATCTTCTTCCGTCAAAGTTATCTATCGGTTTACAAATTAAGCTCTTCTGGTTTCATCTTTGCGCCACATTCTCCTTTAATTTTTTTAAGGAGCTCATTTTCTGTCTCGTTTACTTCCGTCGCAATAAAGGGTTTTAAAAGTTTAAAAAGTAATCTACCTAAATCATGTTGTTTTATTTTTAACTTTAAATATTTAAAATTTGCTGTTTAAATAAAGATTTTAATTTTAGATACTATCGCTAATATTTTATTTTGTCAATTCAGTTTAGGTTAGTCCTGTTCTGTCACACTGATTGACAATTTACATCTGCCTATCTTCGCATGGCCGAAAATTTTGTATGTGTGATTTGAAACAATTTGACCAAAAATGTCTAAATGTCATAAAATATAGATTATTTCATACTCACTGTTGTTTTAATAAATCCACTGCTTCTTTATTAACCTGGCGTGTAATATAAACTGAGGGTTTCGACATATCTGTTAGAAAATACCGGTATGGAATGTTTTTCAATACTGTAGTTGTGTTCTGGTTGGAACGGGAAAGCACCTTGTAAAAATTTGCTATGTTATACGCCATTTTGAAATTACTTTTATCACACAGTTTTGTAGTTGACCTTCCTTATCTCTATACTTTGGTACAGTTTATATAATCATTATTATTATTTTAATTCAAATTTTTTAACAACAGATTATATCAACTACCTTTATTCACACACAGTCCTAAATATAACATACCTATCGTGTCATATTACACAGGTTTTTTTAATACAATCCTTAGGTACTTAAGGGATTGAAGTAAATAAATTTATCAACCCAAAATGAGATTTTTCCTTTAAATAGTTAAAAAGTGATTACACGTTATTGACAAATATTTTAAACATTTTCTTTTGTATTTACATTTTTAAAATAACTTCAAAAAAATTGTGGTTAAGTGTGCCTTAACCGTATTTGTGTTATTCCATCCTTGTCAAGGGGAGTGCTAAACTTCTCTCCTTTCATACAACACAACTACTACGTTTAAATTACAGGTATATGTACTTATTTTAGTAAAACATGTAGTGGCGAAGTATAAGCTTCGACGCTGAACATTTTCATGTGCTGACATCTATAGGTTACATCTCTAAGTGTATATTTAAACGAAAAAATAGTAAACTGTAATCGCCAGCAATTTTATTTAAGAAATTATTAATTTGTTAATTCATTTATTTATTTGCATTTATTCTTTACTCACAATAGTGATTCAACTAGGAACAATTTTATAATTTATTATAAGTCAATTCTAACTAATCTAGAGTAAAAATATTTATAATTCAAACTTTTTGGTTTGATACACCTGATACCAGGTTTCGAGTAGATAAAATTTAAATAAATAAAAAGTAAATAAAGGTACACAAATTTTAAACAATCTATTATTATTATTAAAAAAAAAAAAGAAAATGCATTTTAACAGAAAACCTAGTACAAAAGTAGACTATATACTTCCTTGGTGTCTATAGTTAACAAAAACTGAATGATAGGGAATTGTACAATTTTTGTGCGTAATTTTTTTTTTATAGAAAATATAAAAATATCGGTCTATGGGCCGGGTTTATCGACCACATAACCTTCTTATTGGTTATTGGCAAATTAGAAAGAGATGCAGGGACCGCTTTTCAGTTTTCTCTGGCGCACTGGACGAAAGGGCTGGTATGGCAACGATCATAAAAGCACAAAAAAGTGGCCTCTGATGGCGGATATATCCGGAAATGCGAATGCGCCAAATTTAAATTTTCCGACACTTATTAACAGTAGTTATAAAATAGTTTTTAGAATGTGTCTTAGACGAGAAAGTTTAAATTAAATATTAACGATAACAGTCTAAAATGTGACACAATTGATAAAAAACTTCAATATAAATAAGATTTCATGTGACAGTTGCGACAAACAATATCATAACCCAACTAAATTTAATTTCTTAAACAAGGAAAGACTCTCTTTCCTTGTTTAATGTGGCCTCTCAAGATAGCACTTCCTGTCTAATAATATTTTTGCCCCCACTACCTTTACATTCCCTCTTTTGTCTTTTTGCTCGATGATTATGTCTATGGATTTACCCATGGACATGTTTATACATCCATGGATTTACCTAATTGTTTACTGACAGAACTATGACTGACAGATTGACATAAGACAGAGTATCTAAAACATAAGTGGTCTCTTTAACTAAAAGTCCTTTCGTAACAATCTTCCCCATTAAAAAAAGTCTTCTTCTTCATCTACTTCTTGGCGATCTTTCTATCTGTTTAATTCTGAAGCTGCCTCTGGTTAATTTCCTGGGAGGTAGATTGCCAACTATCCCTCCATCTTTTAAGTGGTCTCCCGGGAGATCTTGAACCGAGCGAGTTGTTTTCTAGGGCAATTTTTGGGAGTCTCTTCTCATCCATTCGTCTTATACCATATCCTCTTACGCTGCCTTCTCCATCTTACAATATCTTGAATTTTGCACTGCTCTCTAACGTTTGTATTTCTCACCCTGTCTCTTCTTGTTTTGCCCACTATTGTTCTTAGGTATTTCATTTTGGCAACCCTTTACATCTGTTTCGTTTTGTTGGTATCTTCGCGCACTTCTATCATGATCGGTCGTATGCAAGTCCAGACCAAACTATCTCCCGCAGATATTTTGACAATGTGGATGCTTGGTTGATCTGACTTCTTAGGTCCTTTACTGGGTCGTGGTTCATTTTTCTGAACGCGTCTTCATTAAGCATGTTCTGGGTCCGTTACTGGGTCGTGTGTGCTTGATATATCTATACCCAGATATCTGAATTGCATCACCTATTCTATGAGGTTGTTTTCAACCACTAACTTACATCTGAGCGGATCTTTTGCTATTGTCATACATTTAGTTTTGTTGGTAGAAATGGTCATATTTAGTTGGCGGCTTATTTGAAAGAACTGACAGAGTTGTCTCTGAAGATCATCTTCCGATTCGGCAACAATTGCTGCATCATCTGCGTAAGACACCATACCAATTATTTTGTTGCCCATTCTGTATCCGAGATTGAGAGATGTTACTTTGTTTATTATTTTGCCCATGACTAGGTTAAACAAGAAGAGGCTTAAACTGTCGCCTTGTCTAATTCCTCCCGGTGTTGGAATATTTTAGTGAATTGGTCTCCTGCTCTAACTTTGGTTACATTGTTGTTATTTAAGTTATGGACTATCTTTGCCATGTTGGTCGGTGTTTTATTTTCTATTAATATATTTAGAATGTCTCCCAGGCGAACCCTGTCAAACGCCTTCGTCAGATCAATGAAGCAAATATACGCTGGCATGCCGAACTCTATAGCTTTTTCTTTTATTTGTTTTATTATGAATACTGCATCTGTTATAGACCGTATTCTTGTAAAACCTTGTTGTTCTTCAGCATTAGTGATTTGCCTTTCCAATTTGTCCTTAACGTTGTATTTAAGAGAGTTATTCCTCTGTATTATTGTGGGCAAGATTTTTTTGTCCTTTTTTTAAATACGGGAATTGTGATGCTCTTATGCCATTCCTCTGGCGTT